ATCCAAAAGGGTGTTTAAAGAAAGGTAGGCTGGGTGCCAGTGGCTCAAGCCTGTAATCCTAGCTTCTCAGGAGGCTGAGATCTGAGGATTGCAGTTCAAAGCCAGCCCAGGCAGGAAATTCCGTGAGACTCTCAATCTCCAATTAACCACCAGAAAACCGGAAGTGATACTGTGGCTGGAGTGGTAGAGTGCTCACCTTGAGCTGAAGAGCTGAGAGACAGCGCCCAGGCCCAGAATTCAAGCCCCATGACCAACCTTCCCTCAAAAAAAAAAGCTAGAAGCTGGGTGCTGATGGCTCACACCTGTAATAAGATGTTAGGATCAAGGTTTAAAGTCAGCACAGGGCAGACAAATCTGAGAGACTCTAATCTAAAGTTAATTAGCAAAAAATGGAGTTGTGGCTGAGGTGATAGAGTGCCAGTCATGAGTGAAAAGGCTGAGTAAGAGTGTGAGGTGTGAGTCCGCAGCGGGCGCTGGTGGCTCACAACTGTCATGCTAGCTACTTGGGAGGCTGTGATCTGAGGATTGTAGTTCAAAACCAGCCACGACAGAAAGTGTGTGAGAGTCTTATCTCCAATGGATCACTAGAAAACCAGAAGTGGACCTGTGGCCCAAAGTCATAGAGCATTAGCTTGAGCAACAGGGACAGCACCCAGGCCCTGAGTTCAGTGCTCCTCCGCCCCCCCCCCAATAAAAAAGGTGTGAGCCTCGGACTTCAAGCATCCATAGCAGTACACACATCAAAATAAAGTAACATAAAATAAAGCTAGAAAATAAACCGTGCCAATTGTTTGGGAGAAGGGAAAGGCATGCACACAAATAGGATATACCACGGCAAAGTCTGGATGAAAGTGGACAAAATAGAGCCCACTAGAACCTTTGTCTTTTTTCTTTTTCTTTTTTGGCAGCGTGCAGGTCAAAGACTTAGAAAATTGGCCGAAACTCACTCACCACATCTAGGTATTTTGTCATCAGTTAACATAGCTATTTACAATGTAGACTCTTGCACCGGGCCAAGTGCTATGGCAATAAAAGACAAAATTCCAGATCTGAGCAGCTGCTATTAAATCATTCTTACACGAATGGCCCCAAGCATTCCACTCACCTCATTTCCATTGATGTCAGGGAGAAATCCCATTACATCTCATTTCCCGTTAGCACTGGGAACGTGCTTGCTCTTGTCGAAGTCTGGCTCCGCCTTCTTTTTCCTTTGTTGCCCCCACAGAATTTGGTCCCTACCACTCTGAGGGTGATTTTCATTTTCTGTTCTGGCGAGCTGTCTGTGTCACTATCCTCTAATTCAGAGGTCAGCGAAATAAGATCTTCAGGTCAGATCTGCCTCCTTAGTACCTATTCTTCTAAATAGAGTTGAGTTGGAACACAGCCACACTCGTTGCTTTTAAGCACTGGCTATGGCCGCCTTCGCATCACTTCAGTGGAACTGAGAAGAGGCAATCCTGTGGTTTGCCAATGCCCCAAATGTCTCCTATTCTGCCCTTAAGCTTGCTAATATATTCAGAGCTCTTTCAAGTTGTATTTTATTCTACTTGACTTCAGCCCAAACATCAGTCCATTCAATGGAATCAATGAGGGTTTTAGACCTACTACATGGGGGCCACTATTTAGGCACTTGGGGTACATCATCCAAGCACAAAGCAAAATGGGGAGAGACAGCATTGGACAAAGGAACAGAATATGTTGGCAAGACATGTTCTGGCAAAGAATAAACTTGAGATGGGGAGGATCCCCATGATGGGTGGGTGGCCATGGTGGTAGTAGGAGAAGCAGTTTTATGGGAGTTCAGCAAAGGTGACATTGGAGCAGAGCTATGTGGATTCCAAAACCTGCAGGGCTGAGCAAAGGACAGGGTGTGTTTGGCATGCTTAAGGACTCCCAGGGCACAGCCAGCAAGGGGTGGTGTGGGAGAAAATGAGCTCACTCTCCGGGGTTGATTTTATTCAAGTGAATTTCTCTTTGACTGAGGTGGGAAGCCCCCAGAGGGCACAGCAGAGGAGAGATTCAGGATCGGTCATGTTCTAACAGGCTCTCTGGGATCTGAGGAGAGGCTGTAGATGAGGGACCAGAGTGAGCAGAAGCCAGGAAACCATTTTCTGTGGTCTTTTGATAATCTAGATTTTTCTTTTTAAATGATGCCAGCTTGGCCCAAGATAATAGAGATGGGGTGATGAGAATGCTGGATTCAAGCTTCTTGAGCCAGCTCAGAGCTTGGCATACAGTATCCATCTCTTGAATGAGTGAATGAAAAGCTGGTATTTCCATTGGGTGACCAGTAGAATCCCCTCTGGAAATTCTAATGGTGTCACTTGTGTACTAAGTAGAATCCTGGCATTTGCACTAAAAATACAACCATTATTACCTCTGGATATATATCGCCAGTAGTGAGGTTTCTGGATCCTATAGTTCTTCTATTTTCAGTTTTTGATTAACCTTTGCACTAATTTACCATCTATTGCATTAGAATACTGTCCTTGAAGAACACTTATGTACAAATACTATATGCCAATTGAACATCCAAATTAAGAGCTAGATGTGTTGGCATATGTCAGTAATGATAGCATTTAGGGGTGGAACTATTACAAGTTCAAGGCCAGCCTGAGTTGAGATAATCAGGAAATCCTGTAAATAAATAAGGAAGAATGAGAATCAAACTTAGAACCATCCTAGATCTCCTGATATTACCTCCTGCTTCTTCATCTGTTGCCATCCCCCAAAACACATTCCTTTTCACATGAGAACAAAACAAAGTCAAAGAGCTGCATTTTTTCTTTTAATTGTTATGCTTCTGATGGAAAAGGTGAAGACCTGTGATTTTTGAGTTTTCTTTTGCCATGATTAACAAAAATAATGTTTAAGAGGTAAAAACGTTTCAGTTTCTTCTAAGCTATCTACAGGAGGAATTCACTGGCATCAATTGCTGCGGGATGATTAAACAACCTTTGGGTTTTCGTTCCAGGCTGTATGCACACGTGCCAACATTGGAGCTTGAACTCAGGCCCTGGTGCTATCCCTTAACTTTTTTCTCTCAAGGCTGAGAGACATGACCCCGAGCTCCCCTTCCAGCTTTTAGGTACTTAATTGGCGATTCAAATCTCATAGACTTTTCTGCCCTGGCTGGCTTTGAACTATGATCTTCAGATCTTAGCCTCCTGAGTAACTAGGATTACAGGTGTGAGCCACCAGCGCTCAGCTCCTTTATTTATTTTAATTTGTGAAGAGTTGTAGGTTTTCCTTGAGCTTTTACAAAGCCAGTAGCTCTTTTCTTTTTAACAGGCTCTAGCCATACTTTATACATTTTGTGGTTTTGCCTTTTTTTAAAAAATTATCTTTAAGTAGTTGTCCAAAAGAGTTCATACTTTTAAGGATCCTTCTATTGGCAGTGAAATGAACGTTCATTTTGTAAGGCACCACATGGTTATTTTCCAGGGATACTATTTCAGAACGGGTCAGAGTATTCTAGAACTGGTGAATTTTGTAAATAAGCAGAGGTGTGAATACAAGTAACTGATTGTCAGAATCACTAAACGTAGCTGTGGAAGTGAAGCCTTCCCATAAATCCAGCTAGCCCCCCTGCCCTTCTGAGTGATTTGAATCTGCCCACCACTGGGTGAACTGCTATTCTCCCACAGCTGGCAGTGGGCTGCGTCTAATATGGCCATCAGTGTTCAGCGGCCCTCTGCTAATAGCCTTGAAAGGGAGAAGGTTCAAAGAGGTTTGGTTCCCAGGCCTGCTAATGAGGATGAGGCCTCTTCACCTTAATGAACCAGGGCTTGTGTGGGATTCTTGGCCCTCCCCTTTTGGAGGGAAGGCGGGCAGGAGTTCACAAAAGCAGCCAAGCGCTTTATGGTGAGGGGAGCGTGCAGCTGGACCAGGCGAAGGTGGCCTAGACGGGAGCAACAAAGCTGGCGGAGGTCGTGGCCAGGCCAGCACTGCTGAGTGTGAGTCTCTAGCACTGCTGGGTGTGAGTCCCAACCGCCTGCCACCCCGGCCTGTTGCTGACATCAGTGATGAGCTTGTCATGGGAAATTTTCGGCCCGGAGAATTAGACGGGGGCTTTCAGCAGCCTTTGCAAGCCTCCTTACATTGGCTCCTAAGTTCTTCATTGTTCTCGTTGGAAGCACCTTAGCAAATGAATATGATAACCACTAACTCCTTGTCCTGTTCAGCTAAAGGGTCATCCTAAATATTCATCATGTACTCTAGCTCATTACAGCTGCCCAAAGATTCTCAGATTTGTTTCCCACTTCTCTCTGCCTACCTGTGTCCCATTCCTAGATGAAAGAATAGAGCAATTCAGAAAAGTCACAAACACATGTCCCCCCAAAATGTCTCTGTCATTATCTTTATGGAAATTAATGGGTCTCTCCCTCCAGGACTACATCTTAGACAAAGAAAATGCCTGGTCAAGCATGTTAATTTCTACTGCAATCCATGCATTTGATTTCATCTATGGCTAATGCCTATTTCCACAGCAATTGCTCTACTCTCTTATTCGAAGGTCTCGTTTGGGTCTCAAGAATAAAATCTCCTCAGACACATAGAGACAAATACATGGAAGTTCATAAATTCAAAGTCTGAAATCACTGTTGTTCAATAATAGAGGTTTCTACATTTTAATTCCCTCCCCCTCCCCCAGTTAAGACCCAGCTGTGACGGAAGATGATGATGATCAAACACGAATGATAGAAATTACAGCTTGAATTACTTGCTAGTTTGGAGTGAGCCCTTAAAAAAAAGCCAAAAAAAATCAGAAGAAAATCTGGCCAGTTTTCATCCCTTTGGAACTTTGGGCAAAGGTTAGGTTGTTTTCTCCCCCCACCCCCTTTTTGTCCCCAAGGAACAGAGAGCCGCTGGATCAGGAATGTAGACAAGTTTGCCCTTCTCTGACCTGTGTTTGGAATGCCTCTGAGATGCGCTGCGAGCTGACAGCCCCCCATGGCTGACCCCCTGGTGCCTAATCAAATCTTCCCTTCTGTTTCCAGATAGCTGATCAGCTTCCTGGGATTTTGCTGATGACTCCGGAGAGCTTTGCCTGAAGATGGAAACGCTCGAGTCGGAGCTGACCTGCCCTATTTGTCTGGAGCTCTTTGAGGACCCTCTCCTGCTGCCCTGTGCACACAGCCTCTGCTTCAACTGTGCCCACCGCATCTTGGTGTCGCACTGTGCCACCAACGAGCCTGTGGAGTCCATCAGCGCTTTCCAGTGCCCCACCTGCCGGCATGTCATCACGCTCAGCCAGCGAGGTCTAGACGGGCTCAAGCGCAACGTCACCCTGCAGAACATCATTGACAGGTTCCAGAAAGCCTCGGTGAGCGGGCCTAATTCCCCTAGCGAGACCCGCCGCGAGCGGCCCTTCGACGCCAACACCATGTCCTCTGCCGAGAAGGTGCTCTGCCAGTTCTGTGACCAGGATCCTGCCCAGGACGCTGTGAAAACCTGTGTCACTTGCGAAGTGTCCTACTGCGATGAGTGCCTGAAAGCCACTCACCCGAACAAGAAGCCCTTCACAGGCCATCGTCTGATTGAGCCAATCCCGGACTCGCACATCCGGGGCCTGATGTGCCTAGAGCACGAGGATGAGAAGGTGAATATGTACTGTGTGGCCGATGACCAGTTAATCTGTGCCTTGTGTAAACTGGTTGGGCGGCACCGCGATCATCAGGTGGCAGCTTTGAGTGAGCGCTATGACAAATTGAAGGTTAGTCCGATCCGCCTTAAGCCAACCCTTTTCTGCCAGCCAATGTCATGGAAATAAGAAGCGTATTTACTGCTAGCTACGTGGCAGGTGAAGGTTTTCTCTTCACCTTTGTTATCTGATTAGTTGTAGCATGTTTTTGGCAGCCTGTAGATGTTACACAATAAGGCTATCTTGTAAAAGTTGACTGCTGCTTGTGATTTTAGCGTTGTCAAGGTGAGGGCAAATTCAAAGCCTCTGGATCGTTTTCAATCCTTGTAGTTTTTCTGGATCATTTTCAATCCCTGCAGTTCTTGCAAAGAGAATGCTGCTGTCTCTATCCAGGAGACAGGGAAAAGAGAAAGATGGGAGAGGGGAAAAGGAGGGACAGGACCGCAAGCAAAAATAGCAGATAAAATCTGGCTGTGGGCATTGAGCAGACATTTATTTTCTTCACTCATCCAGGAAAGCTAATTCACTCTCATTGTACCTGTATCTCGTTACTGCACAAACAAAAGACTACAAGAAGGAATGTCTATAGTAAATGTCTGTAGCAAATGTGGGATTTTACAGGACACGTGACCCTTTTCTTCCTTGTGAAAATGATATGCAGCTTATTGGTGAGCAGTCACGTTCTGACAATCTCAGGTTTCAAGAAAGAATTCCTTTGCATGCAGCTTTCTTATTCAATAAGATTATAGGCAAGCCTGTTCAAACTTTTTTGTTTAGCATGAAATTATTAACCTAATACCAGCTTGGGATAGTAATTAATATGACTATATATCAGGTTTTAAAAACCATTCTCCAAATATGGCTAGGAAGCACCAGGGAAGAAATCAAAAGTTGTTCCCAGATGTCTGTTCAACTTCAGGCAATAGGGGAGCTAATTATTACAAAGTCAACTGAGAGAGTTTGAATGAGATACTATGTTCGTCAGCTAATTTTAGATCAGAAGCCATTGATTAAAAGGAAAGGAAATATGAATTAAAAGCTCTAAGTAAATATATACTGAAGTCTTTCCTCTCAGGAAAAACACATACCAAGTGGTTGAGCAAACAAACCGATTCACATGATTCAAAGAATATTATCACTCAGAGAGCATCTCACCTTTAACAAATGGTTCCTATCACTTCTCCTTAGCACTAATGGGTACTTGTGTTTACTTGGGTCCGATAGTTTATTTTGTGACAGCGGGATTAATGAGCCACATCTGGGATTCAGCTTTGCTATTTCTTGACCATGCTGGGGGAAGTTGACATGCTGAAATGAATTCCAGCTTCTAAATGTCACTTGGGCAGCAAATACATCACCTGGGTAGCATGCTTCACTTAAAGGGTCCAAAGAATGACTGGCACCAATCCATCTTTAAGCCCTGTAAAGGAAGTTAAGCACAAGGATTTAAGTGACACAGACAAGGGAAAAGGAATGTCGACTAGGTTTTTTGTACATCATACTGCAGTAGCAGAAAAAAAAAAAAAAAGTACCATGAAAGTGAATAAAACCAAAGGGAATGCATGCGTGAATTCTTCAGAAATCGATACGGCTGTCAATTTTTCAAGGCCAAGGTGATCTTTTGTAACCTCCTTTTCTTGTTATGGGGAGGAGGGAGAATGTTCAGGATGATTGAACAGAGATGTTTGATCTCCATTTTCCAAATGTCAGCATGTCAGATCTTTTCTTCTTTTATAAAGTTTGAACTAATACTTTGATTGAATTAATGCTACCATTTAATGATTGTTTGTTGAAACACCGTAATCTCAGTGATGCTTCATATTCAGCAAATCACAGACTTGATATTTAAATCCACTCATCAAGTTCTGCTTATTACTTGTGTACTGTCACAGCACGGTTTTTAATTATTTACATAACATCTTCAAATTTGTGAAGAAAGATTGTCGTGCTACTCTAGCTCTTTTGGTGATGAAAATGAAACTCTTCAATCAGCTATCAGCCAGTGGATTATCGGTCATTGGTACCACCGCAGAGAGAGTCTGACAACTAAGCGAGAATGTATTTTATTTTATAATTACAGAAATACGAGCAGTATCCAGTGCACCACAACAGATATACAGCTGTTCAACAAAATATGCTTATGAGCAATTATTTACAGCCATTGAACAAAATGTGCTTATAGGCATTTGAACAAATCTCATATTAGCATAGAATGTTTGTTCTGAAACATGTCACTTACGTTAGTGAAAAAAAATCAAGAGTTTATAAGACATTTGGGTGTCTGAGATTTCAGTTATCACAGATTTATGAACATATGTACGTCCCTGTTTTGTTAAAAATCTAAGTATAATAAAAATGTCGATATTTGAAGGAAGCAATAGCATACACAAAGGACCCCAACCAACAAAGTGTGGTTTTGTTAATTAGAACTTTAATCTGAAAAAAGTAAATGAATCTTCTCTGTGCACTTATTTTCCAGTAGCTCTGGAATCTCATATTGTATAGCTTTATGGTGGTGCGGGAACACAAGTTATGGAGAAATTTGAAGATGCTTTCATCACAGTGATGGCTTTGCTTTACTATATGCACCTGGAAGGATCTGGACAGCTTCTAGTTGAACATACGTTTGTTCTGTTAGTAAAAGTCCATCAGAGGAAGATGGGTATTACCAAATTTGGGTGGATATTTTTAAAGTCATATCAGGTATCCATATAAAAGATGTTTGTTTATGTAAAGCAGTGGAATATAATTCTGTACATTATAATCTTTTCCTTAAACGTAGAAGAGAAGGACATTAAAAATTCCAACAATTAGAACTCATGCAAATAAAATCTTCTGCTGAGAAGTCCTCATGAAATATTGAAATAAGAAGAAAATTAAACTTGCATTTCCGGAACTCTTATTGTAAGATAATAAGAGAAAAGCCTTCTTGCCAAATGTAAGGTCTGTAAATGGAGCATATCATAGTACAGACCCTTTTAAATAAAATTTTAATTGAATTTTAAGAAGACTCTCAGCCTTCCAAATTTGGATTACTTTTTTTGACTTGTGAACCATATAACTAACATACAGGAGAATTTAATATAATAGGTTCCAGAGTTTTCAAGTAGTTACAATGAAGTAATTCCTCTTTTTCTGTTCCAATATACCACGTTGGAGCTTTTGTTTTTTTCCTCTGGTTACACCTATAACAATAGAGCAATTGAGAAAAATTGACCTTTCCCTGCCCTTCAGTTATGGCTTTCCCTCTTCAAATGAGCCGCAACTGTAGGTCTAACTGTAGTTAAAGGCAGCCTGTGGAAGATGGTCTGCAACAAGATAACTTCCAGTGGATCAGCCCTTTATAATTTTAAATAGTTTGACCAAAAGTTCCAGTTAAAGTTTGCTCATCCTCATGTAGCGCTTATCATCTGGAGGCGAAGATAGGAGACTTTATTCTTAGGTTTACTTTGTAGATTGTAAGGTTTTCTGTTTCGGAAAGTCTTTTCCAGTTATTGTTGCAAATGGACACTGAGTTCAACTTCTTTCCTTTATTCTGTAGAATTGCTGGGACATGGTTCTTTGAAAATGGTAGTAGATTGCTGGGAAGGTGGCTCAGAGGTAGAGTGCTTGCCTTGCATGCCTGAGGCCCTGGGTTCGATTCCTCAGCACCATATAAGAAAAAAAAAAAAAAGAAAGAAAGAAAGAAAAAAGCCTGAAAATGGTAGATGTTTGGCGCATGCACATATGTATGATACACATACATATGCATACACATCTATGTATATGTATGTATATATCTTTTTGCTTATTTTAATATTATCCTGAATTTCTTTACTTTCAGCTTGAATCCACATTATATGGGAGCAAATTTAAGTAGTTGGTGTTTCTTTAGAAGTACTTCATTCTATAGGCAAGAGATGGCAAAAGACAGCAATATTAACTATTATTTCCATTGCCTTAGTCATCCCTTGAATATTTGCTAGATGACCGCAAGTCAGTTTTGGACATGGTAGATATCTTTTGTGGGACTTTTTTGAAGTTCCAAATATGTGTATTTTTAAACCTGTTTTTAACTTGTTGACTTTCAATTTAAATGCATATTGCTATATAATAGCAATATGCAAGTCTGGGCTGGGAAGGTGGCTCAGTGGTAGAGCGCTTGCCTTGCATGCATGAGGCCCTGGGTTCAATTCCTCAGCACCACATAAGCAAAAAGAAAAAAGCCGGAAGTGGCGCTGTGGCTCAAGTGGTAGAGCGCTAGCCTTGAGCTGAAGAGCTGAGGGACAGTGCCCAGGCCCAGAGTTCAGGCCCCACGACCGGACTCAAAAAAAAAAAATATGCAAGTCTTATGGAAGAAGTATTACTTATCAGATATTAAAGGTAAGATTGTGTATTGTATCTTCAAATTTGCCATAGGCTTGCTAATTGTTTTTTTCATAAATTTTTATTGTGAAAGTACTGTACAGAGGGGTTACAGTTACATGAGCAAGGTAATGAGTACATTTCTTATCAAGCATTGTTGCCTCCTTCTTTGTTTTTCCCCTACTATCCCTTCCCTCCCACTTCCAATTACACTCCCCTCCCTTCGCTAATTGTTTTATTCTACTTATTTAGCTAGCAACTAGGAGAGGTACAGTAAATCCTTCCATTCAGAATAAAATATTCAAGTTCTTGTCATCACAGTATTTTTATTTTTTTGTTTTAGGACTTGTGGAGCTGTTTTTAGGAATGTACAAGTTTATACAGGTATTTTGAGATGTCATGAAAAAGGAATATATGTTTAGGGAGTGAAGGGAATATGAACAGAAACAGTCACTACCTACACGGAGAATTTCATTCCCTAGTAGGGAATTCTGATAGCTCATATGTTCACTGTTGGTGGAACAAGGGGCATTGTGCTCAAATCAGTGACAGTGACCCCTGCCATTAGGGTCTAGGAGGTTTCTAGAAAAGAGACATTTCACCTAACATTTTTCCAAGGCTTATATTAGAAAACAATGCCCAGCTTACTAAATGTCTATAGCATCCCCTTTACCAGTCATCCAGTTTTACTTTTAACCACCCATGTATAACCCTGTGTAGTTTTCCAA